CGCCGAGGGCCGCGGGCCTCCGCCGGCGCGGGATCCGGGAAGTGGGTCCGCTTCTGCTTTCGCCGTCTCGGCGCTGTCAGCGGGAGGGGCGTTTAAAGCTGCCCCCTGAGCCCGGCGGCGGATCTTTCTTCTGAAAAATCTGGCTTTTGGAGAAAAGCTCATCCTGGCGAGTTTGGGCGGGTGGTTTGCTTCCCCTCCGCCTGCCCCCCCACCCTCTTTATTAGTTTAGAAAAACGTTTTTGCCCTGCAACTCTTGTCTGATAGGAACACGAGCGGTTCTGCGTTACAGTAACGGGAAATCGCATTTTTAACGGGGTAGGAAGTTGGCACGAAATGAAGATTGTGGTTTTAATATTTTAAAGTGAGTTCAGTCTAATTGGATTTTTGTTTTGCTGGTAGCATGTAATATATTTCGAGTGCTGATAACTTAAAGCTTTTAACTCGTAAATTCATCTTTAACCCTCTTTTTTGTAATTAGAGTGCTGTTTGGACTTGCTCAATAAAACCTTATCTCCGCGACAAGTGACTTATAAAAAAGGGAGACGTTCATTTGACTTTGAGCTCAGATCACTCCTGAAAGCTGACTCTTGCATAGTACTTGAGTCATTATGGAGTCATGGGACTTTTCAAGGGCCGGAAAGAACTATTTCGATCGTCCCGTCCCACCCTCTCATTTCATGGAGGAGGAAACTGAGGCCTAGAGAAGATAAGATAACTAGTTAGCGGCTGACGTTTAGGACAGTAGTCTATCCGTAAGAGGCAACCTGGGGAAGAAGTACGATATTTGTATAGTGAATGACATTTTACAGAGGGCAATGTTCCCGTCGTAGCCAGAAAAGGTGGGTACTTTGGTCAGACAGTGTGGAACTTGGGTGGTTTCACTGCTGGGTTTTAGGAGAAGAAATTGCAGCTCGGGGGTTAAATAACTCTCAGGATGCAGGGCCCTGAATGATAGTGTCGTTTCAGCTCGTCCCATTTTTACTCTGCACTACACAAAGTGCTTTCACTTGCATTTTCTTGGTCGGTATTCACAATAAATTGTGAGGCTACCTCGTCAGAGGAAACCCAAAAGTAAATCTTTGAAACACATGTAGCCAGTTTGGTTTTAATGTGCCAGTTCTCAGAATACAACTGAAGAGCCCAATAATAAACTTGCTTAATCTAAAAATGTGGTATAGGGCGTGAAACGGACTGCTCCGTCTTTTGCCCTCTCCCCCTACTGCACCCCATCTCTCTTCCTTTCTATGACACATATCACTTCCTACTCTGTGATCATTTTATGTATTTTTGTTATCTGTTGCCACAAATTGTAAGCTCCAAGGACAGGATGTGTTCTTTGTATGCCCCAAAGCGCAGGTATGTTGCCTGCCTGCCAGATAGGCAACACCACTTTGCTCAGTGCAAGCACCATGAGGGTAGGGACTGGATCCTTTTCATTTTCCAGTGTATTCTTAGTTCCTAGAACCTTGCCTGTGCACATAGTCTTTAGCGTTTAAATTTAGGGATTAATTGTAATGAACATTTGAAGAGAGGATATTTGCAGAGAACTTTGTATTCCTTCAAAAGGAAATGTATCCACATTGGCTTTGGAATCTTTTTAACTTTACAGATGGATTTTCATTTTATCTTCAAGACAGTCCTTTACTATAGAATTAAAATATTTTCTCTTAGCTGTATAAAGGAGTCCCCATGGTAAGGAGCCATCATGTAAGGAGGGTCTAGCGAGGTGTAATAAAGAATTGATCATAAAAAACCTTGATCCATGCACATAAGGATCTTATCAAGTGTATCTTCCAGTGTAATTCAAGATTGGTAGAAGACCTATGCAGAGATTGATAACATGGTAGCTAATTATACATGTTGTTTTAAATATAAGTCTAAGATTTGGATGAGAAACTGCTCATGTTCAGTTTTCTTTGACTTTTGTTGTAGATACTTGACAAATATTTGTTAGGGGAGTGGAACTAATCAGCAAAACTGGATCTGATACAAAGAGAATTTGGCTGATTTTGCAAAGGTGTTGTTTATTTTTTTCTAAAACTGTAGTTTAAATTGGCAATTTTATTATTGAATATCAATATCTTACTGATATGCACATCATTTTCCTAAAGACTTAAAATAATGTGTTCCTGTGTATGTATTGATAAAGAGGGTGGATATTGATCTGTAGTGTCTAGATTTGACTGGTACCAGGAATAGTTTAGTATTTATGAGCTAAGTATTCAAAAGCTGGTTTTTTTGTTATGGCAGTGATGTCACATGTTCAGTCTGTAGAAAAGCTTGATAAAGATTGATCTCTCTTAAACCTTGTGTGTAAGACCATATAAGGTTGTGACTAAATACATGCCTTGCTTGGTTTGTTTGATTTCCCTCCTATCGTTTTTGAGGACTCCACCATGGTCTTAGAGATTAGGCTTAAGGTTTTGCTGTTAGCCTTTTCAAATTGATTTCTTTTAGAAAAAGTTAAGAAACAGACATTTTGGCTGATGCAATGATTCATTGTAACATTGGACGGATTTTTCAGTAAACAGGAGTACTGTACCACAGCTTACCCTTGTGCTGAAAGCCTAATGTTTTTCATTTTTTTTAATAAGTTTTATAATTTTATTTACTTATTTTTTTCCCCCCAAAGCCCCAGTAGATAGTTGTATGTCGTAGCTGCACATCCTTCTAGTTGCTGTATGTGGGGCGCGGCCTCAGCATGGCTGGAGAAGCGGTGCGTCCGTGGGCGCCTGGGATCCGAACCCAGGCCACCAGCAGCGGAGCGCGCGCACTTAACCGCTAAGCTGCGGGGCCGGCCTCTAATGTTTTTCAGTGTTCTTAGATATTTTGCAACAGTGTTGAAAGGTACTAATTACCATTTGAGGACTTAAGTCTTTTTAATTTATTAGTTCTTTGGAAATCGCATGAATGCAATGGAAGCAGTAGCAACAAAGAATAGAAGAATTTATCCATTTGCAGTAAAGACTGGCTTGTGTATAATCTGTTGTACCTTGTTAGAACTTAGTTGAGCACTGGATCTAAGACCAATCCCATTAGTCATAGAATTTCTATTTTAAAGAGGAAAGGTTATGAGGAACTTTTGTGCTGCCTTTTAAAAATTAAAATCACTTTTTAAAATGCACCATTAAGAAAAAGAATACCACTTCTCCATAATTCCTAACACTAGTGCGTTTATTCTTAATGTTAATCAAATTAAGGGTACACAGAAATTGATTATTATTTCAGTAGCAATTTAGAAGGAATTTTTGCTTTGCATCAGTGGAGGATCAAAATTTTTTAAACTCTGTTTCCAAGGAGCCTTAAAACTTATAAAAGAAAGAAATGAAAATTTGGGGAAATGTACTAGGTTTAAAATAATATTTAAATTACTTATCAAAAAAAATATTTGCAACATGAGTTGCAGACTTTCCATCTGGTTTTTATTATACAGAACAATATTCTGGAGTATTACTATGCTTAAAATTGATTGTATATGAGGTGCTTAAGTACTAGAAATATGTTCCCTTTTAAATTAAGAATCTTAGTCTCACTAACCATAGAGAGTAATTATCTAATGTTCTGATTTTGAATTTTACATTGAGCTGGTTCCTAAAGCTTACTCTTGTAAGTATTATAAAACAGTTATGCTGTTCTATAGTTTTGCCTAATATATATATTTTATATGATAATATATTATATGATAATATTATATGATATATATCAATGAGACCTTTACATTTAAACCAGATTCTGATCTCATGAGATAACTTGCTAGGTAATCTTTTCCAGTGATGGGGGATTGAATGTTTTTAACTGTTGTACAAGTAGACTGAATAAAGATGTTAAAGGAAGAGAGCATCTATTAAAAGCAGTTATAAATAATTTTGATCACTTTAAATTATTGACTTCTTGGAATCATCACTTTTACTCTGTCAGAGCTTCTTGCTGAGTTTTTCAGTAGTTGCTTTGAAAATTCATTTCAGTAAACATGTACTTTTAATAAAATAGATTTTTTTCTCCTATATTTAAAACTTAGCATTTAATTAAGTAATTATATTTAGAAAATATACAGTGAACTGATTGCCCCATTGGTGGATTACCTCTACCTGTTGCTTTCCTCTTCTTTGCATTGTGGGAAGGGAAAAAAAGATGAAAGAAAATCTGTTTTGTCCATTTAATAGCAGATTTTGGCAAAAGCTTCTGGAAAGGAAATGGAAAATGTTACGTAAAATAAAATTCTAATTATCTGTGTCTTCTAAAATTTATCCTCATTAGAATATTTTTTTTAACTTTTTTTTTTTATAATTTTATTTATTTATTTATTTTCCCCCAAAGCCCCAGTAGGCAGTTGTATGTCATAGTTGCACATTCTTCTAGTTGCTGTATGTGGGACGCGGCCTCAGCATGCCGGAGAAGCAGTGTGTCGGTGCGCGCCCCGGATCCGAACCTGGGCCGCCAGCATCGGAGCGCACGCACTTAACCGCTAAGCCACGGGGCCGGCCCTAGAATATATTTTTAGGTCACTTTATTCTAAAAAAAAAAAAATAGGGGACTTTCTAAAAGTTCTTAGTTAATAGGACTGAGGGTATCAATAAAATAAAGACTAGAAATATAAGCTCTTTTCATTTAATTAATAGTTTTTAGTTGTCAAAGTGGTATGCATATTGTATCCAACTGTTACCTTGTGTTTTAAGGTTGCAGTGAGAATATTACTATTACTAGATTATGCTAATATAGTTACAGCTGCTGCTTCTAAGATTTAAAAGTTATTATTAAGCTCTTCAGTAACAATAGCAAAACTTAGGAATCCCTCAGGAATCTTGAATTCTGTACTGTACAGATAATAAAGAGGGATAGGGATGAGGTATATAAACATGTGTATCTATTAGTTTCTTCTACTGCTCTTGAAATTGTTGAACTTGAGATACAGCACTAAGTTTGTTTGTATTGGTAAGACTGGCTGAGTTTTCAAATATGTTTGTCTTTTAAATTTTTCTTATTAAAGTGTTTAGAATACAGAAAAGTATAAAGAGGAAAAGTAATACGACTTGTAATCCCACCAGTAGAATGAATTTTTAGGCAGAATTTGTACTTCCCTCTCTGAAGTTTTCCTCAATGGGAAAGATGACGTATACTACTTAGAGTTGTTGAGGATTAAATGGAGCATTATTCATAAATGTTTATAAAAGAATATACTAATGTAGTATTTATTATACTACATTATTCTTTATTATAAAGCTTTCATTCCCCTATAGCATTGCTACTCCCAATTGAAGTTGATTTTATTATTTGATTTTTAAGATTCCCATTAAGGTATGAATGAAGACTAAGAAAGAATAATTATGATTGTGAACAGCTTAACAAATAAATTGTCTAGCTCAGTGGTTTTCAAAGTATGGTCCAGGGTACCCTGCGGATTGCCTAGACGTTTTCAAAGAGCCTGCAAGTACAAAACTATTTTTATAATTATACTGTAAATAGTAATACAGTATGTTCTTTGCCTTTTTCACTGTGTTGACATTTGTAACAATAGTAGAAAAGCAGTGGT